CAGTCCTCCATACAATATCATTTTTGGGAAAGCGTGTCGCGGTCTTTCTGAAGAACATTTCGCGCAGGAAATCTCTCATAAATTTTTCACCGAAATTGCTTAGCGAAGTCAGAAAGACTAAATGTATGCAACACTTTCCAATGGAAAACTCAAGTAGCATTTCCTACATGATTATCAGTACGAGCAGCGTCTTGTACGTTGGCCAGGGACCGAGGCGATTATTCTCTGAGGGACTCATTCACATCAGCAACGTTGAACGCGACCGTGGCAACCCTTGACGAGAGCCATGCGTTTGCTTGCATTTACATATCTGCTTGCGGCAATTCACGACGCCGAAATCAAAGGCAATCGTCTCAAAAATTCAATTACAAATTAGCACATTGTGGTGCGCGCGCAGGCCTTGCAAACGTTACGTCGGTTTATCCGGAGCGCCCTTTACACAGCGAAAGGCACGACCATAAAGAAACACATACGCTGTTTCCGGAGTCCAAAAATTAGTATTTTGTAAATCTTTGCCTCTTGCTTTTCCATGATGAAAATATCTGACTTGCGAATTCCCCTCTTTTGTGCTTCGTATAATTGCAAAAATGTGAAAAAAACTCGATCACAAAGCATTTCCTATGATAAGGGTTTCTGAAATTTCAAAGATCAAAAACGATGGAGAAAATCAAGCCCAACTGAGGTTCAAGCAAAGAAAATCTCATATAATGACCGTTAATTTTAGCTCCTGCTCTCCCTAAGCCTCAATTTACTGCTCGCAGAATGATCACAACTCTTCGCTCACTATGTATAAGTCTTTGGCTCTCGAGCTATTTTGCTGCGTTCATTTATCCTTTTCATCTCCTAAAGTATCTTGTAACAGAAAATGGCGGTTGACAACATTAAACGAAGAAACTTGCGCTACAAACGCTAGTAACCACAGCAGGCCCTGAGAAACATGTATGCTCTCATTTATTCCATCTACTCGATTGCAGAAAAAGGCATTTGTTTTACGTTTCTCAAGAACACACGTACTTGCGACCATTCTTCTTCAGTCATGATCTCCGAACATCCTCCATTTTGTCATATATACCATTTATGAGCTCTATAATGATTCAGCTATGTGTTACGATCAGCGGTAATCGAAAACAAATTATCCTTTCACCACGAAAAATAAAGCAGATGTCCCGTCTCCCGAAGGTGAGCGACGATTGGCTACTTGATGTGCTGTAGCCAGGACGTAACTCTTGAACTGATTCTATTGAGCCGATACGCTTAATGAGACCAGCTTAGCGCCCTTTGCCTCAGCATCTTCCAATTGCGGTCACATTTCACGCTACTTGGCCAGTTGTCGAAAAGCTGATAGGCCTTGACTTCAATTATGGCCCGCCGTATGCAAATCAACTCACCCACTGCGCCGCCCTCGAGCTCATAGAGAAGTCCATCACCATTAGGCACTTGTGTATCGCGCAGACTTTTACGGTCATGAAGTCGTTAAACCAAATAATTAACAACAGAAATCACGAGTTAATGAGCTGATATAGTGAGATAAAACTGTTCCACCGGTACGAAATATTCGTTGCTTATTTCAGTTCTGCAGGTAAGTGCGGCTCGAACATTGTAAGTGGTGATGGTACGATGTTTCTTTTGTTGGAGAATTAGACCCATTTCCGAAGTACCCGTTTTTGCTTCGGATTGACAGTAAAGCTCTTGATATTTATGAATGATTGTTACATTTAGTACAGAACAATAAAACAGGCATCTGCCGATGCAATGGCACAAAGACCAAAATCACTACTGTGGCCATGTGAGGTACAAGACAGTTAATGCCACTTTTCTTGTTGACTATAGCTAACTTCCTCGCTGTTCGAAATATCCAGACTGTTAGCAAGACTCGTATTTTGAGTCAAGAATGTAGAAGAATGTCTTCTATAAATTGACTTCTTCTTTAGATTACTTATTTGTAGCTTTCCATCTCTTCTTTTCAAGCACTTCTTTGCAGCTAGTACGCCTCACCGAGGGGGATGACATGTGATACCTTATGGAATCATGCACTCAGGAGATAAGACGCTTGGTTATTTTTAGACAATAACGAAGTGATGTATTCTCAGTTTACATAACTGTACAAAATAGGATTTTTAGACGCGTTTGTTCGCTGAAAGACCCTTCTATGCTGTATAATGCAGTTAATCATGTAGCGTCTGGCTATCTTGGTTGCTAAGCCACACCTGGGCCCCGGAGGAAAATATGCTTCTGAAAATGTACTGATGTTTTTCTTCTTGAACACTTTGCAAAACGGGCCATTGCTTTTCAAGGAAATTCGTGTTGGTAGAAGCTTCTATTGCAAGTTTCCAAGCTTGCCATCAAGCAATACCGAATGTTTGTTCTCCCCACCATGAATAGTGAAGGTAGAGTGGGGAAAATGCTGATTATTCGAAAGTACCTGGGTTCGCCAAGAGATATGTGGCGTTGTTTGTGACTGCGTGCTTAGAAATGAGTGATTTATGCCGGGCGTAACCGCATCGCTTCAAGCTTCGGTGCGTTCGCCGGAGCTACCCGCGTACAGCTTGGAGTCCTACCACCACGACTTTACTGTGCAGGCAAAAGCTGCACTGCCTCCAAGGTTCGCTACGCTCAGCGCAGCAAATGCCTCCTAACGAGAGGTGTCGGCAACGCAATCTGTGCACCTTTTCCGCGATAATCGCCGGCGTCACGCCCATGGGCAATGTTAGCCGTCCGCAGAGCGCCTCAGCGCGTTCACGACCCTAGTTCAACCCGCTAATGTGATAAACCACATGCTGACTTCACCTCGGCATCAGTTCACTACTCCGCTCTACAAGCTGTTGCTTACTGCTGGAACTCTCCTCAGAATCAGCATTGGTTTCGTGGGATGAGATGCATGGGCATGTGCCGTGGCAACGAATTGGTGGTCGTCTAGGAAAATACAAGGTGATCAATCTAGTTCCAATGAGCAACAACTCATGCACATCCTTTACAAGCAGCACTTCATCTAGCGAACTTTCTTTCAAAACTTGTAGTCTATTAGAAAATTTCTCCTATAGGGCAAAAGAAGAATATTACTATTCGCTCGAGGCTGAGTACCACTTTATGAGCAAGGGAAGAGAATTGCTTGCAACGTGTTGCAGTTGACCTTTCGATTCATTCATCGATAATTTTTTCTAAGTCCAAAATAATGGAGTATTTTCTGCAAAAGAGAGCTTTCTTTTGAGTAATTAGAACTTGTAGTCCTGTTTGTACGAGAACCATTGTCAAACATTTTTACATATTCTTTCCATGAATATTCCAAATTCTCGCTCCCCAGAATCGAGAATCTTTCATGCAATGCAATCCTCGACCTCGACTTTCAAACGCTGCAATTCGAAAAGTTTCATTTATTGCTCTTTTACCACTGCATCGAACATTTTGAAACATTCCCTGGAAGCTCCGATTCTCAAACAATAGATGGAAATAATGTAACTCTTTATTACTTTGAACACAGCAGCACTTTTCTCGTACGGGCAAGGGTGACTTTTACTCACTGGGAGGGCAGATTGTACCTAAGATAATTTATGCATAGGTCGGAAGCTTCCGCGCCACTTTAGAGTCGTTGGGCAACAAAAACAACGCTGTCGCTCACTTATCGCGTTGAAGATTCGTATCCAAGGGCATCAGGAAGTCGCGATTAAACAGCGTTACGTCTTGGGTAATCGCGATAATTGCAGGAGGGCCTCGAAAATCATTTTTACAGGCATCTAAGGTGTGAGCTGATTTGAATCGAACGAGTGGTGCGAGAGCATAATTTGCATGGCTATGTAATTGCTTAACTCCATCATATCATGCTGCGCTGAGGCATAATCAGGGGCAGATTTAAATCTTTTTTCCCAGCCAGGCTCACATTCAAATCGTTCTTCACCGGTGTTTCTAGAGGACGTTTAAGTACTTCTTCACTCACTCACTCACACTCTCACTCTCACCCTCTCTCTCTCTCTCTCTGTCTCTGTCTCTCTCTCTCTCGCATAACTTCCTTCTACATAATCAATAGGATTCTTCGTTTAAATATGTTGTTTATGACATAGGTTAGAATAGCAGCGGTAATTTGGTATGCTTGTTCGCTTTTCTCCCACACCCAAATTGTTCCATTATACCCGCATACAATATGGTGGATAATCGCTCGTTGGCTACGAAAACATTGGTCCCCAGTAGAGTCGAAAACAACGCTGAGTATAGACGGGAAAAGGGTAGGAAGCCGTAGCAGCTGAAGTTTCGCACTCGTTTTGACAATAAATCATGGGTGCATGGTCAAGGTTGCTCTTTATTTTTACCTACGCGCATTTTGATGTCTTGAAAAGATGACTCGCGCCGGCAGAGCCGCCGAGGCCCTGCTTCGCATACTTATGCCCTCATCCACTTGCCAATTGTTAGCGCCTCCTAGCCCGCAATTGCCGTCACTATGCTTCATACAATCATAAAGTCTGATTATTTGATTTAGAGCTGCTGAAGCCAAACCACTCCTGCTTGTTCATGTTCTATTAATACATCCCCGAAACATAATCCTGTCGTTCGAGCCGCACTTATCGCGTAGACTGCGGTACATCGACAGTTCCGTAAGCAGCGAATCTTACCGGAACAATACATCGAACTCGTCCGATTCGATAAACCGCTACCAAGACTCTGCAGACGGATGTATGCTCGGTTCGGAGCCTGAGCCGCCGCTGCTCTCGCGGATCGTCGGAGTTCCACCGCCTCCGCCGCCTCGGGCACCTTCGACAGCTTTACTACTACGTCGGCCATCGACGTCCACACCTAAGCCGCTGCAAAAACAACAACAGCAACCGAAACGTGGCGACTCTAAAAGCAAATACGGCGACAGTCCCTATAAGGAAGAGCAGGCATATGTTCGCATACGTTGTTTTTCATGCTTTGAGTGAATGAGAAAGTTGATGTAAAATGAGGTGCACTCACTGAGGCAAAAAAAGCTTAGAGAACTTGAAGGTGCAAACGATTAACATGTGGCATTTCAGCGAACTCCACTAGAAAAAGCTCGTCATCTCGACAATCTTCCGTCGTATCAGGTGAGCTGACTTATATTGTATTGTCACTTAATTTGCTTTTTGACAAAATTTCAGTCCCTAGTACGGTCCCAACTTCTAAGTTCGCTGCTTACTTTAAGCCTATGATGTGCGATTAATCTCCTTATCAGAAAATACCTAGAAAATCAAAAAACTAGATGTTTCGTGGTCGTGATTCATTCAATTGTTGTGAGAGTGATTTACTTTGATTAGGTCAGGTTTGCAGGAAAAGCTTGCCCGATAATCTGAGGCTGACCTCACCATCTCTTTGCACCCTTTGACTTCTCCGTTGTCCTTTCTGGGCTATCTTCTCAGTCAATTTAAAGATTCATCATTTTGGGTACTTGGAAGCAACTTTTGGACGTGCATGTTCTGTCGTGCAAAATCACACTCAAACAAGAGTATCTGAGGAAAGGCGAATCATATCGATTGCTCTAGTGCTTGCTAAGTGCAGAAGCCAAGGAAGCTGACGCTAGCAAAACATTTTGAGGACTCACCTGAGTCGCGCATCTGGCTCTCAGCAAAGACGAGCCATTTTTCCTACAAGATTCCACTATGAGGAATCTGCACAAAAAAGTACATGTTTTGGTCGCTCTGTTCGATTATCTGATTTTTTACGAAGTTTTTGAGCCCACCATCTATATTTCTACATCTGAGCGCTTAGGCTGCCGCTTCTAGCTTGCCTAAATTGCATGGGTACGTTTTTTCTATTTACAAGCTTCCCGTAAATCGACATCCCATGAATAAGCAAGCGACTTACGTAGCAGCAATTGCATAATTTTTGTGCGTGACTTTCTTATGGTGTCTTTTTATTGAAGAACCCTGTTAGTGAATGGACTCATATGGCTGCAGAAGCATGAGTTATAGGAAATAATTAACATTAAAAGATTTTCGTCATACTCACAATTCCTCGCTACATGAACGCTTTGGAAGGAAACCATTCGCTTGGCTTGTATCCTTAGCACTCTTCAGTGTTGTTAAGAAGTTGTTGAGTTCGTCATCATGACTTTTTCGTCCCAAAATTCGAAAAGTTTGCAATGATTAATCAACTCCCTTTCATCATTAAGGTTTCTAATCAGTTAGAGAACTCGAAAAAAGCTATGATTTCGCTCTTGAAATGGGAGAAAGGAAACAACAAACTGCAATTGCTGAGCGTAGGACCACTTCCCTAGCTCGTTTTCTGGAGTGTCCAACGAAATAATACACAGCAGTTTTCGCACTATTATTATGATGAACTAACAAGGGAGGATCACGAAGGTAGATAGAGGTGTGGCAAGTGTCAATTTTTTGAGATGTATTCTACAGTAATCGTCATGTATCTCGCCCTCTCCCAGTGTACACTGATACGGCATGCTTAGTTGATTTAAGAGAACAACGGAAAATGTTATAAGTGGAGTGCTCTCCATGGAGTCAGTGGATGGTTCCTCTCATTTGCGAAGAGGCTCAGGTGGCCGCCAGCCTGCTATTCCTGCAGAGTGCATCAGAGCTTTGTTTTTGACCTGGAAATTCGAGAATTATTTGTCGCAGTGGCTTTTTCGCCACACTTTTTTCATTTGTGTGCATGTGGGAGCAGTCTTGCTTCTTTTCTGTATAGTCGCTCCACTTTGCGCACTATTTCCCCCGTGGGCCGTGCCCCTATCTCAGTGGGATAATATCATTTAGATGATCAGGGAACGCTAGCGCAGTCCTAATAAAGCTCGCCCCGAGTACAAACGAGAACCAGTGAGAAAGTGCTCATCATTACACTTTCTTCGGAAAGAGTAGCATTTTTTTTATTATGTCTGCCTGTCGTGAATTCTTCACTTATTTTCGCCACTAGCCTCAAATTCTATGCCAATGCTTCAAAACAAGCAAGCTAATGTCAAATATATGAGAAAGGTAAGTATCCAGTATCCGTAGGACGGTCATTTGTTTCTTCTTTCATTTTATTTTTTTTTTTGTTCACAACAAATTGAAAATAACATTAAAGGCACAGAAACTTCTGGACGGGTCACATCAACTACGAATAGACACGCATCACGTTGGAGCTCCGGGCCACGGCGCTGGTAATGGATTTCACATTTGACATATCCGATACAACATTATCATGCAGCACTTGTTTAGCAGTGTTGGGGATTCCCAGTCAGATCGTAAATGACCACTTTCAGGCCACGGTCATAAGAAGGAGTTTGGTCCTGCGATGATTCTCTACTATCTAGCATCTGCATTTAGAGCTCTATATCCACGATTAGACGACGATTTTGTCGACAAGCTCAATTACTATTATACTACCACAATCTGTAAGTATATTCAGAAAGTCATGCCTCAGGCAGCTTGATTTCAATACCGAGCATTTCAGTAGCCTCCTTTGCACTACTTGTTTCGGCGAAACAGTATGTCGGTAAGTCAACTGTTCAACAAGTGCACTTGTCATAAACTTTGTAAATGCCTGCACGAAGAACAACATTCACACCTTCATTTGTCGATCTGTGTAGACGATGTGCAGCTCAAATCTGTCTCAATACATTACCCCTGCATGAGGACAGCTTTTGCGCGAAATTTGCCACGCTGGTAAATGCCGACGACATGCTTGCAACTTGCGCGTCGGCAATCGTCAAAGTGCATAGATTGTCAGTGTTCACACCAGGTGTCGCCAACGCAGTAATTCATAACGTTATATCAACCGCCAAATGTGAAATACATGACTTCGTAAATCACCGGCATGTATGCACGTTTCCACAAAATAACTTGTAGGCTGCTGCATGACGAAGGCGTTATATCTTTAGGCGCGAAGGCGGTTTTACTAGCCGCAGAGCGCATGAGACCAGGATTTACAACAATGAAGATACGCGCGCGCCTCTTTCGCACCCGTTCAACTGCTACCGCTTCTGCGCATTCGTCCTGCACTAGCCTTTACGCGCGCGCAGCGTTCGTGCTCGGACAACTAATATTGCTTGTGCGCCTTAGTCATGCAGCAGCCTTTACGTAGAACCAGGCAATGCGCAGAGTACCCTTTTTTTGGAGTAAAGCAGTCCTTAGCATGACAGGTCTCCCAAGGCAGGACCCAACGATTAAGGGAAAGTCAACTTATTGTCTATTCCCTTCTTTTCTAACTGTTAGATTGGGACAGCCTTTTTGTCCTTCAGGTTTCCCAATCCAATGTTGGGTTCCTGCAACATTCACCGATGCGATGGAGCAGTATACGGAGAATTATTGTTGGGTACAGAATACCTACTGGGTCCCAATGCAGGTGCGTCCCCAGTGTATTTTGAAATCTAGCAAACTACTATATATAGCCTCTTGAAAGCGTTGCGTTTAGGAGGATATTCCCCGCGAAATCTACTCACGTCGCAATCGACAAATTGGTTATTATCAATGGGTGCCTTTCATACTGGCAATAGAGGCACTTCTTTTTTACGTGCCGTGTATACTTTGGAGAGGACTTCTTTACTGGCATAGCGGTAAGTGGAAGTGACAGAGAGATTCACGTATTGGAAGCTTACAAGAAAAATATCTTCTTAAAGTCCAGTGTTAAATATCAAAGCATTTCATGCAATAAATACTTTCTGTTTGTATAATCGTATGCAACATTGCTCTATATGCGCGGTGGAAAGAAGGTGGCAAATAATTGTTAGTCTCTGCCTTAAATTTTTGTGCCAAAAAATCTCATAACTCAAGGTCCAAAGGCGCTTGGCAAATAAAAACAGATTTGTAATCAACGTTCAGTGCTTTTCAAAATGATATAGAAGACACCTGGAAAGGCCACTTCCACTAAAAATACTCCCCTTTCTAGGTTATCATCTCCCATAACACGTTTGCCTTTTTACAGGAATAAACTTACAAGGCCTTGTTCAAATGGCTTGTGATGCTCGTTTGATGGATTCAGAAGTTAAGACGAGAACAGTCTACACTATGGCACGACATATGCAGGATGAAGTGCAGGTAAAATAAAGGATTCCTGAACTGAAGCAGTGCTCTGAAATCTCCGCTCCATGTGGTACTATGCAATTTACATAACGAACATTTGAGACTTGCTACTCATCCAAAGTGGTTGCTTATCAAGGGAACTCAACGGAGCGTGAACCGCTGAGATCTTTAACGACAATTATTGCAAAAGCTATTTGTTTCAGTTGACGAACATCGACCGAACTGGACACTCGCGGACGTGCTTCACCCATATGCAAGTGGGAGCAAACTGTGGGCGGCATTGCGGTTGTTACGTCACTATGCTCTACATTGGTATAAAAGTGAGTCTTTAGGGGATTTTATCGCCTTTCATCAGTGTAAACTTCATTACAGATCCTATACTCGGCCAATGTTCTTCTGCAGTTTTTTCTTCTAAATCATTTGCTCGGCTCGAATGACCTAGCTTATGGCTTCTCATTACTGAAGGACCTTATGCATGAAATCGAATGGGAACAGACAGGGATGTTCCCGCGCGTAACGCTGTGCGATTTTGAGGCATGTTCAAATGTCATTTTTAGCTTGTTTTTTGACCTAGCACCAAAATTTCCATCCAGTTCTATCTAGCACTGATTAAAAGGGAGTGGTGACTTATGCAGAAGTATAAGCCACTCCCAGTGCTCGCCTTGAACCAAAAGTACCTGCTCGATTGACAGCTTTAGGTTGTATGTAGCAGGAATAAAGAGGCACACGCATTATTTCCATCTTAGAGCTCTCCCTTGTATCCTTTGTGAATGATCAAGGGAAAAATTTCTGTTACTGATCCAGGCAAGCGAAGCTCTTCTATGGGCAGCTTAAAACTTCAGTTATTCGTATTTGGTTCAATATATCAACGTGTCGCCACATTCTTTGGCTTGCTTGCGCTAATAATTTAAGATTGAAGTATTTTGAGAAAAACCCGATTGTTGGGTCACAACTTTGGTACCCAATTGTTGGATCACACCTTTGGTAAACTTTATGTGTGCAAAAACTGGAGTCGCTGCACATACAAGACAGCATGAATTCCTTGCACCATAGCATTGTAGATGTACTCGCATTCTTCGAATAGTAGTTCTGAGATCGATGCTGACAATATTTGGTTCAACTCAGTATACACTCTGCAAAACTATGTCCTCGAGTGATTTCAACGACTTTTGTTTTGAATCCCGCAACTTGCAAATAAGTTAATTCATAACTTTGGCTATCGCTGCAGGCTCCTTTCCATTGCTCCGATGTTTTCTCTGTTCAGGTCCGCGTGCTGGGAAACATCCATCGGCATACTGTTCAATGCGTGCTCATGATTAACATGTTTAATGAGAAAATATTTCTGTTCTTATGGTGAGTACTATTTCCCTATTTTATTCACAATTACGGCAGCTTCATAGCGCACATAGACACCTAGCCTCCTTGAAATGACTTCACGCTGGAGGCACTAAGCTATGCGTAGCAATCTCGCAACAACTCATTATCAGAAAATATCTTCAGACCGCTCCACCTTCAGTACACTTACCAATTAGCGTACCGAGGCGTCCCCTACCCGAGATTGGGTCGCGAGATTTTTGAAAGTTGCCTACATGATTATAAAAGTGCACAAGTGACTTATTTTCAAATGAGAGAGCGGACGAACATTGAAGTAGAGTGGAGAAGCGCACTTTCGAGCATTTTTAACATAGTCTAAGCTACTGTCTGAATCACGCCTGGTTATTCATGATTTCTTATTATGCCGGGTCCAATATTCTACACTTGTGGGAATACGGAAAGGAGTATTCTCGTTTTGTTCGGAAATATCGAAAAGCGTGTGAAGATAACGGCAAGATGTCGCGCTTCAATTCCGAATTTTTGTGGTACCCGCTATGAAAAAGATAGAAGTGCTACGAATCAATCACTTCGTCCAAGATCAGGCGCAAAAACTAGTGGTTGAAAGTAAAAAAATTTTAGGAAAACCAGAAAAGTAGCGAAACACAAAAAAACGGTGATTTTGCTAGTGTTGCGGAACCCTAAAAGACGGAGAGGAGTGGCTTAGCTACTGCTAGGGCTGTAAAATTGTCACGACCCTCACGGTTGAATTCAGCTTCGAAATTTAGACCCAAGATCGTTATTATGCGGTAGACATACTAAATTGGTCATAGATCGTTGGCTACTCTCCGTAAGCAAGTCATTGCTAGAGATTCTACGAGCATGTGCATACAATAAACCCTTGCTCCCACGTACAAAACCGAAATTTATACGCAAACAAAATTTACACGCATGTGCCGTAACCTGTGGCCACGATCGTTCACGCGTGATAAATGGTGTTGCTTCCAAAAGTAGACAAGCTTAAAATGCAATGTAAAATGAGGGAGTATCAAGATTACTTGCCCTATAAGGCCATCAATTTTTGCTGGAACTTATGGATTTCAGGTTTTGGTTCCTCACCGTTGGTGTAATCACTGTATTCAACACTTGCTATTGGATATTGATAATGTTTATTCCTAGTCAGGTACGGTTACAGCGCAACGTATTGCTATAAAAGCATACTCAGATCCTTCACTGTCCTCATTCCAGGGTATGTCGTTTGTTCGGAAATACTTGCGTGTACTTGCTGACCATCCAGCTAAGCCTATCGCCGACGACGTCACTCTGCGGAAGTTCACCAACAACTTTCTGCGGAAAGACGGTGATTTATCATTTCTTTATTTGATGATTCTAAGGTACTCGGACGAGGCAAGTGAAAGAACAATGAAATGCATAAGAAACGCGCTTTTTAATAATTATCTCGGCATTAAAAGTATATTCGTTGCTTCTCATCAGTACAAAATGACCAATACGGTGTAGTTTTATGTCGCTCGTAAAGTTCGCCACAATTTCTGAAGAATTATTTTATCTTTATCTCATGCACCGGGGTGAGCGCAAGATGAAAAAAAATTGATAAGTTAGTAACAAACCATCTACCGCACTTCACTAAAAATAAAACTTTGGCTACAGAGCTGTTCACATAACTCTAGCATCGAACCTAATAGAAGTGGAACAAGAAAAGGGATCAATGGACTGATTTGAGTAAGTCATTAACATTGGGAAATGCTATCGCCTTGCCGTTCAAGGATGGATGTTTGTCCGCCAGGTATCCGCGAGCCTAACGATCTACCTTAAATCCATTAGCTCCGGAATTAATGACAAGCATCAATTAGGAGAATCAATAATTTATACTGACTTTATTTATATTCTTTTGTATCTATGCGGAAGATAAAGAAGGTGAAACTAATTTAGGTGTCTTCATGCTGCGAATGATCTCAACCCATGCTGGCGAATTGATGAGTAGTGAACTGATTCTGGCGCTTTGGCAAGATTTCAACAACGTGGACCGGTCACCAACGCAGTTTTGGGACGCCGAACATGGTCAAGGCACCCTTGATTGAAGTCGTCTTGTACTTTCCCTTTTCATGTGCAGAGATCTCTAGGTATTTCTGGGTCATCGGACTTGTGAATCTCTTGTGTAATCCATAGGTACATGTACTACGCCATCTTTGTACAGACGTTCTTTTCCGAACTGCCCATTTTGACTGTAATTGGGTGCTGTACGACGACGATGCCAAAAATGAGTTGCTTTCTCCCACACGCTTGCCGGTCCCATGCATACTTTTATATCTTGCAGTCATGCCTCAATACGGTACTTGCCATTTACAGTGAATCTCTTTGTAAACAGAGCTTTGGTGACATCAAATGTGATCATCATTTCTGTTGACTACGTGTTATTTTATCTAGATCGTTAAGACCATTGAGTTAGTTACTATCCCCATGTTCTCGGCGGTGTGTGCAAAGTATGTTTTACCTCGATGGTTCGAATACAGCTCGCTCCTGCCATCATAATTCTTACTCACGGAGTACATTGTTCAGTTCTTTGCAGTGCTGGCTTACAGTGTCATAAAAACCTCTTTGCCTCCTTAATTTTCTTTCATGAGACGAAGTAGGCTTGGAGTAGATCCCCTCTTGAAACATTGCGTCAAATCGTTGATGGTCTTGTGGCTCTTTGTGATGAATGTCAATATTTTCATATGAGGAAGTGCTTTATCAGAATGAATAATTTTCTAGCCGAGCTGGACATTTTCGCTGCTCCATGAGCACAAGAAGTGATCACCACAGACCTTGATAACACATCATGCATCAGCCAAATTTAATTCTCCAGGTGGATATCCTTACAAGATATATCCTTATATATATCCTTATCCTTACCCTTGTTAGATTAGACGATGGGTTTAGCAGCGGTAAAAACGACGCTCTTCTCAAACCGAACAGCGCCCACCTTCCCAGCTCGCCCAGTTGCGGCAACTGCTGAAGGGGTAAGGGGGGGGGGGGGGGTTCTTGGCAATCTCGTCACAACATGTATCAATGTATTCTATGACTAAGGGCCGCATGCACTAACATCCACGCAGGGAGGGGATCGCATCTTAAAAGAAAGCTTCATATTTCGAAACTCCAGATACCTGGATTTCACGTTGTGTACCTATGCATAAGTATTCCTACTACCCTTCACTATGAACATGTTGAAGAGGAGCGAGAAGCTGTACGAACCGCATTTTCTAGCTTTAGTATGATCCCTGCTGATCCGCGGCGCTTTTCTTTAAAGTCATTTTTCTTTCTCCGAAGTTAACGAAGAAACTCCAAAGTTGTGCAGATTATCTAAACCGACAGTGCTAAGCATGTTGCTGATAAGAACAAATGATGTTTTGAAGTCATGAAGTTTTCGATGATCCACAGGTCGAAATTTGAGGTTTACCGAAAAATTCGACTTTTCAAAACTCATTTGTTCTCATCAGCAACATGCTTAGCACTGTTGTGTTAGATGTTCAGTACAACTTTGGAAGATTTTCGTTATCTTCGGAGAAAGAAAAATGACTTTAAAGAAAAGCGCTGGGGATCATCAGGGATCATACAAAAGCTGGAAAATGCGGTTCGTACAGCTTCTCGCTCCTGTTCAACATGTTCATAGCGAAGGTTAGTATGAATACTTACGGATAGGTACACAATGTGAAATCCAGGTATCCGGAGTCTCGAAATTCAAAGCTTTCTTTTAAGCTGCAGTCCCTTCCCCAGCGGGGAGATTAGTGCATGCGGCCCTAAGACTCAAAATCGCATTGTACACATTGTGTTTACAAAGTTGAACTTGTTCTTTTATGTTTCTAAGTCGCAAATATGTCTGGATGAAATAGATCCCAAGTATGAGCTTGCTAAACATAGGATAAACTTGCTGAAAACAGGATCAAACTTGTCTAGATAATGTGTGCAAAGTGACCTCGAGTCATAGACTCAGACAATCGCTTGGATCCAACCGGGGCCGATTCGGTACCGTCCATGTTCTCACATGGGTGGGTACCAAACTCGTGCCCCGGATCCCAGCGATACTTGTCTCGCGGATGGCATATTGTAACTAGCCCTAATCAGGCTCTCTAAACCCATTAATCCCCTAAACCCCACCCATATTAGCTCTAGACACTGAATTCTCACTCAAAACTAATTTTTTTAAAAGATGGAACACCCCCCACAATGGTCGGTCGCCTCATCGTGGCGTGGGGGTGACACTGGGTGTCGAACTGCGATGCACAGCCGAGTGTATACTCTGGTAGGGACTCCCAAGCTGTGAAGGAGTTCGACGTTTCCGGTTTCGGCCGGTTGCCTAGCTAGGAACCGGCCACGCCAGATCCCCCGCCGTCTGGCTTCTTTTGGTCGCTAGGCGGTCCCTCCCCACTCCAAGCCCGGGGTCAGCGATCACCCCGTGGAAATCAAGAGTAGGCCTAGTAAGCCACCTCTTGTAGGAGAAAAATTCATATTACTCCTCCAGTTAGAAGAATGAAAAGAAACCCTGCACATCGTATCCCGCCTACGGCGCCGGGTGGTAGCAAGAACGATGTCAGGGTAGTCAGGGCGCCTTTCGGATTGGACAAAAACGACACGTCTGCCCGGACGACACGCCATGGAGACTGCCTCATGCTCTGCACCTACAACGCCAGGACAGTCTCTACAAACGCCGACCTCCACGCTCTTCTTGACGCTGCAGAGCACATCAACTACCACATCATCGCTCTGCAGGAAACGAAGTCCAGAGGGAAGGACGTGCGACAGATGAGTGATGGGACCCTCATCATTCGTGGTGAAAAGGTTCCATCACGAAATGTGGGAGGCGTCGGCTTTGTTGTCCACCCATCTATCGTCCATCTTGTCGATTCGCACGAGATCCTATCACCTCGACTAGGCATCCTACGACTACGCCCTCCACGTCAGAAGACCATCAGCATCATCAGCTGCTACTCGCCAACATCAGCAGCTGACGACTCAGAACTAGATGCTTTCTACGAAGACGTGGAGGAGGTCGTCCGCAACGAAAAGTCCTTTTACAAGTATGTTGTGGGCGACTTCAATGCGAAAATCGGGATGCCACTAGAAAAGGAATATAGGATCGGGAAGTTTGGATATGGGCTCTGGAACGAAAACGGCAACCGTCTCGTTGGGCTTCTCTCCGCCGCACGACTTTTCCATGGAAATTCCATCTTCATGAAGAAAGAACATCGCCGGTGGACTTGGGAATCGCCCAACGGAACGACTCATGCTGAGATCGACCACATTCTCACCAACCGAAGGTGGAGCTTACTTGATGTTTCGGTAGTTCCATCCTTCTGTAGTGGCTCCGATCACCGCCTCCTTCGAGTGAAGATACGACTCAGCCGAAGGCTGGAAAAGAAAGTCTGTCATAGTGCCGCGAGAAGGAAGGAAGTCGTTTATGACAGTAACAGGCTGGAAGAGCTCATATCAAGTTGTGACTGGCCCATCGCGGAGGACCCAACGTACGACTACGACCGGCTTCTGAAAGGATTGCGGGCCTGCGGAGAATGCGCCTCAGTGACTTCTGAGAAGAACTTGGAACGCATTTCGAAGACCACCAAGGAATTGCTCGAAAGAAGAAAATTTCTGAGGCAGGATCCGAATGCAACCCGTCTCGAGCGACTGATAGCCAACGCCAGTGCAGAACAGCTTTGCAAGAGGATCTCAGGAAGTACAGGCAAGCCAAGATACTGGAAGCAGCCGAAAGAAGACGAAGTCTCAAGAAGTGCCGAAGGGACCTCTGCGAATATCACGTACCGCTGGCTGCACTACTGAACGAAGACGGGACTTCGACTTCTTCCCGATACAAGATGGAATCTATCGCGAAGAACTTTTACACCAACCTCTTCCGCTCATCAACACCCGTGCAGATGCCCGTTGTTCCCACTGGAGAAGTACCACCAAGGATTCTACCTGCTGAAGTGCGTATCGCGATACAGACCATGAAGACGTCCACGGCTCCAGGATCAGATCATCTTTCCGTCGAACTTCTGCGAGCCGGAGAACACCGTCTACACGAGGTTCTAGCGTCACATTTGACATCTTACCTTCAGAAGGAGAGGATTCCCGACCAGTGGAGAACGTCAAGAACCGTCCTTCTCTTCAAAAAGGGTGAACGGGAGGATCTCCGGAACTATCGTCCAATATGCCTGCTGAGTGTGCTGTACAAGCTTTTCACGAAGATTATCCTCACTCGCATATAGGACACTGGATGAAGCCCAACCCCAAGAACAAGCTGGATTTCGCAAAGGATTCAGTTGCATGGACCACATCCAGACCGTTTCGAGGGTCATAGAAGTCTGCCGGGAGTACCGACTGTCTCTCGTCCTAACTTTTGTCGACTACGAGAAAGCCTTTGACAGCGTCGAAACCAGCGCCATCCTGTCTGCGCTAGTCGATCAAGGAGTGGACCCAGCTTACGTGAGGACGTTAGCCGACTGCTACAAGGACTGTACGACAACGTTGCAGCTGTTCCATCGCCCCCTGACCATTCCAATCGGGAAGGGGGTTCGACAAGGTGATACTATTTCGCCAAAGCTGTTCACCGCGGCCTTGCAGTGGGTGATGAAGTCACTGGACTGGGACGAGAGAGGCATACGAGTTGATGGGAGATTCCTGTCCAACCTTCGTTTTGCGGACGACATCGTTCTCTTCTCGAGCAGTATCACCGAAGCGGAGACGATGCTAAAGGAACTGAACGAAGTAGGGAAGAAGATCGGACTGCGAATAAATAGGAAGAAGACTCAGTTCATGAGGAACGCCCTTTGCAAAGATGCAGAAATAGAATTGGAAGGCACCCCTATTACGGAGACGTCTTCTTACGTGTATCTGGGACGTTCGATGAACATGGAGAACGACTTGAGGGAGGAACTTAACAGGAAAAGAAGAGCAGCCTGGGCCGCCTCCGGGCCTCTGAAGGAATCCACCGACCAACTGACGGACCCGGAGCTTCGCGCCCACCTGTTCGACTCAACCGTTCTCCCGGCGCTCTGTTACGCAGCTGAGACTTGGGCCGACACTGTAGCCACGTCGAAAGCTCTACGGACCACCCACAGAGCGCTCGAGCGCAGTCTTCTGAAGATGACACGACGCAAGCAACATCTAGTCGGACTTCGCAGTACGGATATGAGAAGAATGTCCCGTCTTCGTGACCCAGCGGAATACGTTGCGAAAGCCAAACACCGATGGGCCGGTCACATAATGAGAAGAACAGACGATAGATGGACACTAAGAACATCTGAGTGGATTCCTCGCGAAGCCAAACGTCCTCGAGGAAGACCACCGACGAGATGGGCAGACGTGTTCGTGGAACGGATGGACCAGCTGAGAAATCAGCTGGATACGACTTTCGTCCCTGGAACTCGTGGACGCAGCCACCGACGACGACCGAGAAGATCGTGGATGTCCGAAGCGAGGGACAGGGAACAATGGCAACTTCTGTACTGGGGCCCGCACGTCACGTGAGGACGGGCCATCTAAGTATCTAAGTAAGTAAGATGGAACGCTGCGAAATAATATGCTATTTCATAGTAGTAAAGTAACGAACGCAAGAAAAAAAAACAAGGAAAATCTTGAGTTATCTGTGAAGAATCAAATCAATGCATACTTAACACGTTGACGACAGTGCCGCGCAATGGTGCGCGGCAGGCAGTCTGTCCCTGTGGACGACGCCGCGCAATGGTGCGCGGCGGCCTTAATTTCAATACTATCTGTCCAATCC